CAAAAAGCAGCTTGACTGGATTTCATAAGTGCGAGACCGCAATGCATTTTGCAGGAGCTCTTTGATCCATTACTCAGAGTTTGAAGCTATTGTCGAGCCAAGCTACTGTTCACAGTGCAGTAGCTTGAAGTAGATTGTTGTGGATAGACTGTGTGGCACTGAGTATTACGGGTCAGCTGTCAACATGATTGTTATTTTATAGTCATCGGAGATAGCATTTAAAGTTGCAACATGAGCTAACTGTGAAAAAAGGGGCTCTCAAAACAAATGTTGTCTGAAATTTGACCTCCATTATAGTTCAATGTGGCTTCTATTTATTTTTTATTTTATGACATAGTGAAAAGGCAAATGGATGTTAAAAAGGGACTTTAGATGGCCTCTTCCGGTTCACCAAAAAGTGAAAAGACTTGAAAATAAGTAATACCTTACCTCCAATCACTACGGAAATAAGGAATAGAACAACCCTTGCACAGTAATTTGGGGCGAGAAATAATGTAAGTCAGTACAAAATTACTTGCAATGAGTCAATTTAACAATCAGAGAGCCTCCACTGGAGTCTTCATTTCATGTGCAGATATAATCTACAGCTTTTACCACATTAGTGTTGGAAAACTGCTCTAAGGTGGTTTCCTTTCTCTCTCCTTGATTGCTAAGTATCGCTCAGGACTGTGTCAGGAAATACATTATATTTACAACATACACTGAGTGTACAAAACATTACGAACACCTGCTCTTTCCATGACGTAGACTGACCAGGTGAAAGCTATGATCCCTTATTGATGTCACTTGTTAAACCTACTTCAGTCTGTGTAGATGAAGGGGACGAGACAGGTAAAAAAATTATTTTTAATCCTTGAGACAACTGAGACATGGATTATGTATATGTGCCATTCAGAGGGTGAATGGCAAAGACAAAAGTTTTAAGTGCCTTTGAACGGGGTATGGTAGTAGGTGCCAGGTGCACCAGTTTGTCAAGAACTGCAACGCTGCTGGGTTTTTCACTCAACAGTTTCCCGTGTGTTTCAAGAATGGTCCACCACCCAACTTGACACAACTGTGGGAAGCACTGGAGTCAACATGGGCCAGCATCCATGTGGAACGATTTTGACACCTTGTAGAGTCCATGCCCCGACGAATTGAGACTGTTCTGAGGGCAAAAGGGGGGTGCAACTCAATATTAGGAAGGTGCTCTTAATGTGTTGTACACTCAGTGTAGGTTACTCTGCACTCAGGCAAACACCATTGTTTTCTATCTCTCCCTCGTGTTACATGGAAACATTAAACCAGTGCCCTGAGGGTCAATACCAGCAGCTCTTATTCTCCCCATCACAGCGCCTCTATATTTTAATAGACTGAGAGGAATGAAATTTGTTTGATCCCCTCGACCACTCCAATATCATTATGTTTTTAGTTGATTCCACCGGATTTTAATCAGCATAGTAATTCCTCTCCACGGGAGGATAAGTCTCTCTCAAGAGCGGTTACACTGTCCACTAGGCCTGCTGAGGCACCAGCCCCAAAATAATTCATCAGAAAAATAATTGATCAAAAGTGCTTCTGTGTAACCCGCCAAGGACCTTTGCTTCTTAATAATTAAACTCTGCAATTATGCATCTTACCATGCGCTCAGTGTGAGGCACCATACAATATTCATAGACCATACATAATTATGCAATATAGTCCCTGGAATAAGAGGTCATATATCCACGGTGGGGCTGTCAAGACGCAAACATTTTTATTTGGTTTATAACACTTTTCATCTCGTACGTAGGGGTCTCGCAACGGAGAGGGGTGCGCTGTCCTCCACCGCTCCTGCTACTACGGGACTCTCTGACTCTGGCTCTTAGAATTCTGTATATGGCAAGAGAGAACAGAGATGCTGATACATTCAGAACCACAGGTTCCACCCATATCAAAGTGCATCCAACAACACAACCAAGCCATACGTTGTTACAATAGGTTTACCATACAGTCTGTCAACAGAAAAACAAAAAAAAGGCATTAAATGAAAATGAAGGAACATAGATGGGGCTGCTGTCGGAGATGCATTGTATGATAAATTATACATAACGCTCATCGCAGCATGGTAGCTAAAGTCTTGAAGGCCCTTGATGGCGCCTGGAGCCAATAAAGAGCTGTAACCGTAGACACAGTGGATGGACACACTGGACAACGTTGTCTTTCATCTCGAGATGCGGTTCAAAGCGGACCGCGAACAGAGCAAACTGGCAATCAAAGCTAATGTGTAACTGGCCAGTGGTGCACTTCACAGGCACCCGTCATCACAATGGCAGCTGAGATCACACGCAGACATCCCCTCTGCCCTCCTCACATCACAATAGCAGATTCTCCACACACGGTCTTTGGGACTTTGAATTTTTCCATGTCAAAAACGCACTGCTATTGGAGCTGCTTTGAAGGGCCTTTCATGCCATGTATATGATGAATGAGAAGAAAATCATTTCGGCCATAGTTAAAGGGTATTTTTTCTCACTCGTATTCAGTACCATAGGGATATTACTTGCTCTGAGCATAAACCAGTACTCAACTTGGATGAATGAGTATGAAAAAACGTATTGTGAAATGGACTGTGTGTTCAAATATCCATACAAGTGTGTCACAAATATCATGAACTCTTTTGTGGAAAGGCTTCACAACAATTTAATATATTTGCTTGATATTTTACATATGAATGGCACGAACAATATGTCAGTAAACGCAATGCATACTGGAATTCATAAAATATAAAATGCCAACATAAGCACACAACTTACCTCTGACTGAATAAATGGCATATTGGTCTGGAAGCTGGTCACTTTTTTCTTTTTTCTGAAGAAACAAAAAGAACGGAAAAAGGACTCAGTTACAATCATTGGAGCATGAACAGAAAACGTGTTTTAATACTGTAAAATTATCGGTAAAATGAAAAACGAAATGTTTTTGACTCAAATAAACAGTACCATCATGACCTTTGATTAATATGACACCCTGAACATCAGAAGAATACAGATGTGATTTACATAAATAAGAGTAAAAGTCAAATAGGCGTAAAGGTCGTCATTCGAGACTCATCACGGGTCCGGACAAATGATTTACTACACATTAATTTGGTTGTGTGGAATAACCTATCTGTGACACACAACTGCATGTAGTGTGTGCATGCAGTGAGAGAATATACCATGACTGCACACATCTCATATCGCCAATCAATCACGATGCTTTACAACTTCTGTCAGAAGCCCTAACAGTCACCATCAATTGACAGACCATTGTTCATGTTGCCAATAACTTTTGAAGGAGAATCTCCAGTAAAATGAACACTGTAGTGTTTACTGTTATACAAGGAAACCCCGGACAGAATGCCCTTATATAGAGGCCATCTGCCTAATCCAACCTGGAAGCAAATATGAAGAAAAAGCACTTTGCTGAACTGAATAAGGTTTCCTATTTGGGTCATTCTTGAATTGCGGTGGCATTTGTGTCCCTTGACTTTGCAACCATGAAAAACACTTTAAAATGACAAATAGTTACACATCATACATGTTTTTGCTTATATTGATAAAACATAATGCAAGTCCTTTATACTGCAAAATTGTATGTTTATGCATTGTTTAAAGTACTTGGGGTTAGCAAATTGGCTTGTCCTTGTAGTGATGTGTAAAGTTGTAGAGACATGTTTTTGGTATTTAGAGATATCTATATATTATTTTTAATCTTAGAAAGTGAACAAAATAATGTAAGAAGAAGAAGAAAATACAAAATAAACTATGTTTTAAGTGAGAAGTAGGCATTGGTCTGTAGCTGAAAAAGAACGGAAATTCACATGAACACCACAATGTCTACTCCACCCATGCTCTACCAAGGTTTTCCAGCACACAGCTTTGACCTACTACAGTAGCTATGTTGGTCTATTGCTTAAAACAATGTGTAGGCAGGTTGCTTAGGATTCAAACCTTCTCAAACAGCCAAATTCATACTCTTAGAGGAATTGCTCCCTCAATAATGTGATTTGTACCACATATATTCTTCACACACCACACTAATCCCATTCCACTACCTTTTTCAATATATTTTTTATTATTATATGAAAACAAGCTTTACCTTTATACTTACAAGACCATCATGCTTTTTTGTCTTGTAGTAATGGGGTGCCTGCCTTTATTTCCTTAAACTGTTTGATTTAGCAATACATGTCATTAAGAAAAAGAAAGCTCAGAAACACTTGTTCTGCAAACATGGTCCTGTTTTATCAATTGCTGTGCTGATCAATAGGCAGTTTATTAACTCTGTCAAATGAATATGTAGCTTAAAGTTGTGTGTATTTGTATTTATTTTTGCAATATTGATGGTGAGGCTACAATAATACACATTTACAATAGACCTATATGTAAAAACACATACAGCTTAATGATATATACAGTATATACATTATTTTAATAGCAGGACACTGTAGTCCATTATTCCACTGATGCATATGAATTAGGCTGTTCGAGAAGGTTTGAATCCTAAGCAACCTGCACACACATTGTTTGAAGTAATAGTCCAACATAGCTACTGTAATAGGTCAAAGCTGTGTGCTGGAAAACCTTGGTAGAGCATGGGCATACTTCTCACTTAAAACGTAGTTTTTTGTTTTTCATTTCCATGATATTTACACCAGAAGGTGATTATGCAACATTATTATACAACATTATAATACAGCATAACACAGCAATACAAGTAAAGTAAAAATACACAATAATGACAAATGGCAACAGTATTTACTAGTATTTATTTAATATTAACAGCTAATTTTCAAGAGGGAAGCGAAAAACCTGCATTTAAGCCAATATGGAGTACACTGGAATACATATCCCTGATCTCTTTTAACAAGAAAACCGAGAAAGCTCCTGAAAACACACGCAAATAATAAACATGTAGCTTACCCATTAACCATTTACATACTGTTATGTAAAAAAACACAAACAAACATTTGTTCTCTTTTGAGGCTGACGTTTATCTCAACGAGTACCATCTCAAAATACAACGAAAATAGAACCACCAAATCACCTAGTCATTTCCGATAAAAAATAGACTGTCCAGTCGATGATACGAATCATGGATACTATATTAGACAATAAAATTAAATCAAATTAAATCACATTTTATTTTCCACATGCGCCGAATACAACAGGTGTAGACCGTACAGTGAAATGCTTACTTACAAGCCCTTAACCAACAATGCAGTTTTAAGAAAAATAAGTGTTAAGTAAAAAATTGATAAGTAAAAAATAAAAATAACAAATAATTAAAGAGCAGCAGTAAAATAAAATAACAGTAGGGAGTCTATATACAGGGGCTACCGGTAGAGAGTCAATGTGCGGTGGCACAGGTTAGTCAAGGTAATTGAGGTAGTCGAGGTTATGAGTGCTGAACACAACACAACACTGTGGTCTAAGGCACTGCATCGCAGTGCTAGCTGTGCCACTAGAGATCCTGGTTCGAATCCAGGCTCTGTCGTAGCCGGCCGCGACCGGGAGACCCATGGGGCGGCGCACAATTGGCCCAGCGTCGTCCAGGGTAGGGGAGGGAATGGCCGGCAGGGATGTAGCTCAGTTGGTAGAGCATGGTGTTTGCAATGCCAGGGTTGTGGGTTCGATTCCCACGGGGGGCCAGTATGAAAAAAATAAAAAAATAAAATAAATAATAATAATAATGTATGCACTCACTAACTGTAAGTCGCTCTGGATAAGAGCATCTGTTAAATGACTAAAATGTAAATGTAAACATTATTGACTGTCACATTAGGTGGCTCGGAGAGCAAGGCATGAAGTGGCACAAACTGCTCGGTGTTCTAGTCATCCACCTCGGTGGAAATGACCTGGGATATACTAAGGGGTGCATTGGTGCAGCAGATGCGAGGATGTTTCCCGGTCTGATATTGTGCAGCGGAGGAGCTGGATGTTCCAGTGGGTTCAGAAGATAAATAAGTGCATAGAGAGGGACCGGCGATCCATCAATCAGCTGGAGTACGCATTTCAGGGAACACAATCCACCACCCTGTCATTAAGCAATGTGTCTCTGGGATGTACCATAGGGACGGACGAGGGCAAAGACTTATTCCTTGAGAGTTGGTCTCTCCCGTCTCCACCGTTCTCTCCTCCGTAGTAGCAAGATGGAGAAGTCTGCAATTGCGGCCCGCAATTCGGGGTGTTCCTGCATTTGGGCATTCCTGCATCTGCATGAACCCCTCTTCATACTTCTGTTGGTACATTGTTAAGCTAGGAATCCGTTATTCAGGCGGGAGCACTCCAGTACAGTAGGTGGTGGTAATGCACCATAATGTTGTATGCCAACTGCCGATAAACCCCACAGAAGAAAAGGCGGGAGCGACAACGCCGGTAACTAGCTAGCTAGGGACAACTGTAGACAGTGTCCTTCCCCCCCGTCTGTCGGGGACTGTTTTCCCACAGTTCTGTTAACGACGGCGAGGGCAGGTGTTCAGCAGGCGTTGGCAAAGGACACTGGGTGCTAGCTAGCTAGTTAGCTACCTAGGACTCTGGTACACAGCAAGCGGGATAAGTAGCTAGCTAGCTAAAGATAGCTAGGACAACGGTAGACAGTGTGCTTCGCCCCGCCTGTCCGGCACTGTTTCCGCAGTTCTGTTAAACGACGGCGAGGGCAGGTGTTCAGCAGGCGTTAGCGAAGCATACTGGGCGCTAGCTAGTTAGCTACCTAGGACTCTGGTACACAGCAAGCGGGATAAGTAGCTAGCTAGCTAAATATAGCTAGCACACCGGTAGACAGTGTGCTTTGCTCCCGCCTGTCCGGCACTGTTTTCCCGCAGTTCTGTTAATCAGGGGAAATCCAGAAAATCAAAAGTGTCACACAAGCAATGCGCACAAGAAGGAATGCACACTATTGGAAGACGTGTGCAGTAGTACACACACCACAGTCCCTGCGTACCAGTGGCCATCGAAGGTGAGCATTTGCCCACTGAAGTCGGTTACGATGCCGAACTGCAGTCAGGACAAGATCCTGGTGAGGACAATGAGCATGCAGATTAGCTTCCCAGTGCCGGTTCTGACAGTTTGTGCAGAAATTCTTCGGTTGTGCAAACCCACAGTTTCATCAGCTGTGTTTTGTGGCTCGTCTCAGACGATCCCGCAGGTGAAGAAGCCGGATGTGGAGGTCTTGGGCTGGCGTAGTTACACGTGGTCTGCGGTTGGGAGGCCGGTTGTACGTACTGCCAAATTCTCTAAAACGACGTTGGAGGCGGCTTATGGTAGAGAAATAAACATTAAATTCTCTGGCAACAGCTCTGGTGGACATTCCTGCAGTCAGCATGCCAATTGCACACTCCCTCAAAACTTAAACTGTGGCATTGTGTTGTGTGACAAAACTGCATATTTTAGTGGCCTTTTATTGTCCCTGTCAGGTGGATGGATTATCTTGGCAAAGAGAAATACTCACTAACAGGGATGTAAACAAATGTGTGCATAACATTTGAGAGAAATAAGGTTTTTGTGCATATGGAACATTTCCGGGATCTACTATTTCAGCTCATGAAACATGGGACCAACACTTAACACTTTACAAAGAAGGCAATTTTTTTACTAGTATGTCTGTCCCCCAGTTTTGTCATTGGTGTTACCGACTTGAAAATCACTCATTACAAAGATATACAAGGACCTTAAGCATTCCCTCCAGTGGCAAACTGTTATAGGGGGAGGAGTCTATATTTAAAAAAATATATTAGCTAATTACACCCTTTTAGTATGTCATACATTTGAGGATTCCATTGACAATTTGGTGTCACTTGGTGTTAGTCAATTTAAATTAACGGAAATTACATTATGAGCAAAATTATTCATCATATAAATTTAGTAAATCATTTTTAAAGGGTTAATGACCTTAGATTTAAGCATCATTTAAGAAAAACCTCAATAACCAAACATTTCTCAGGTGTTGCCATCATTGGTGTTACTCCTACTGGTGGCACAATGTTATCATAATAGTAAACATTATTTAAAGTCATTAAGCTGCCATATTAGTTGATGTAGAATGGGAAGATGTACACAAATACATTTCAATAAAGAAAATGAGAAAAAATACATATCTTTTTTCCAAAATGCCATGCCCAAATGCCACCGCAATTCAAGAACGACCAATTTCTACCAACTGGAAAATTCCCATTGAGGACAAAGATTTGCACAGATACAAAGTAGCCAGGCAGTGTTGGATTTCCCTTACTGTTACAGTAGATCCCATGCATTTCCTGTATTTAAAAATTACCCTCCACTGCACTTCAGCTCTGTGGTGGTTAAGGCATAGAGCTACTGAACAGATCTGTTGATGTTGTGAATATTGGGCATAGCCTATAGCCTATTGCTGAGCCATTCCGTCCCATTTAGAAATAAGAACAATAAACAGCAATGTGCATATGTATAATAAGGACGAGTCTAGAGTTCACAATGCCAATGATGAGAAGTCACGATTCCAAGGACCCCTAATGGGAATATCTCCATTCCAAACAGAGAGACAAACTTAACAGGCCATCATTTCCATCAGTTCGCTGAAATTCTCATCTCTCTTATCATGCCAGACCTCCAGTCCAGTCAATATAAAACAAAAGTGAATATAAAGAAAACATTTGGGATAAATGGAGATGAGATTGCTTCTGTAAATTGCCTTGTGTGTTGACAGCACGGTTACATGTGAGCGAGATGGGCGCCTGCTGTTGGCAACACAGGATGTAGTGAAATTCTTGGTACCCATGACATACTGTACTACCTCAGATCAGGGACAGAAAATAACCACATGGAAGGACCCGGACTTTCTCTCTCTCTCCCTTTAGTCACTTATGGAATTCTCACGGGACGATGGCAAACGCTGGATCACTTCTGGACCACTGAATGGCCTTGCTCCTACAGCCTATGTTTTGTGGCCAATTAGAGAAAATGATTTGAACTGGGAATGAGGCACATCCTCCGACATAGGAGAGTTTCATGTTCTATCATGGTACCGTTAGGTCTCGTTCTGTCATGGTACCGTTAGGTCTCGTTCAATTATGGTACCGTTAGGTCTTGTTCAATTATGGTACCGTTAGGTCTCGTTCTGTCATGGTACCGTTAGGTCTTGTTCTGTCATGGTACCGTTAGGTCTCGTTCCGTCATGGTACTGTTAGGTCTTGTTCTGTCATGGTACCGTTAGGTCTCGTTCCATTATGGTACCGTTAGGTCTCATTCTGTCATGGTATATCTTTATAATCATAAGTTGTGTTCTTATACACATGATTTGAAGTCATATTCAAGAATAAAGTCATTTACATTTTTGCTAGATAGATAGATTCTATTCTACCCATTTTAAAATACTGTATCCAAAATGCAATAATTGAGAAGATACAGTCATACTAAACTAAGACCAGTCTGATATTCCCACCTATCAAAATATGTCAGGAGAGACATGATTACAGAGGACATGGGTAAAAATAAAACGTATGTGAATAATCCACAGTACAGGACATACTGTATGGGGCACCTTGTGAAGTGCAGGTGCGTTTAAAGTGGCAATATGTAACTTTATTTTTGTACGTTTTCTGTCCTCGGTTGCAACACTCACTACTGAATTCCAAACTGCCTCTGGAAGCAACGTCAGCACATGAACTATTCTTCGGGAGCTTCATGAAATGGGTTTCCATGACCGAGCAGTCGCACAAAAGTGGTGGTAGGTGTTCAAAAGAGCAGGTATCTATATACTTTTGCTCATGTAGTGTATGTTCTATGTGCCTTATTTCTATGCTTCCCGGTCTTAAGTTTTGTTTTTGCGTCTTTTACTTTCGTTTTCGTACACCAGCTTCAAACAGCTGAAACAACAACATTTTTGGTTATGGAAAATATATTTCACAGCGGTTTAGATGATACAATGATTCTCTGCACTATACTAGCTTATTTTGTCACATAAACTGAAATTAGGCAAACTATTAGAGTTTTAGCAAACAGGAAATGCGGAGTGATTTCTACATTGTGCAACTTTATTACTAAATTAATTAATGTGATATGGGGGAGCGCAACTTCAACCTATCGACCATAAGGTAACCATACAGTACGGTAGCTCTCCCAGATGTGCAACGCTGCAGTTGGGGGATCAGGTGACATGCCAAGTGGGAAACTGGGTAACGCCGAGTGTATTAGTGGTCTCTTTATGGTTTCTTATGGTTGATTGTGTTGAGGAGGAAACGTGGAGCGAATAGCGTGTGGTGCTACTATGCTTTGATGAACCTACCCTTGAAGAACTTGGACATCCGTGACCGTATTCCGCACAGATTTGAGGCCTCCACCGCCTCCACCTCCTCTTTAGTCTCCTGGAACACAGGCACATAAATCAGTTTCTCATATCATATCCAGTCAGATTCAATGCATATGGGCCCGATTCACTAAATCTGTCAAGTTACTCCTCCAAATGATCTATTTGACTCCTACTATTGCGGTATATCTCTAGCACGCTCTGTTTATTAATCTAACATTCCGAGACTGCAGTGTGGAGGAGAAGTTTAAAACAGACATATCGAGTGGGAATACCAGAGTGTCTTCTTTGTACTCCTACAGTATCTCAGGACAGGAAACAAGGATAAACAGCCAGTGTTTTTCCCTCCCTGGTTCAATGGCCCTTTGAAGAATAGCAGAACATCTCAGTCTGATTAATGGCTGTACACTGTCTAATGAACAGTAATTGAATGGTAGAATGCAGCGGGCCCTCAGAGCCCCAGAGGAATACCCTGGTTGCTGCAGAAGCCAGTGACATTGTCTGGGGTTGATTATAGTTGACCTTGCATGAGAGGAGAAGCTTTACAAATAGCGAACCTAAGAAGCTAGGGGAATAGTAACCAGGAAAACAGGACAAGATAAATGAAAAGGAATTGCATTGGCAAAGAATAGGGGAGGTCGATGGCAAGATCGATAACTATTTGATTTTTTATCACAAAATTCTTAAGAGGAAGACGATTGATAAAACATGCCTAGTCCTATTGGCATTTCTAACAATATTAATTAAGAAAAAATGCTTAGCTGACCGGTTGATAAATCAGCCAATATCGTTAAATCAAAACAAACTATTGTTAAAAACAGAATTACACAACCTCATTCAACTCTACCTTTGTTCAATATGCACGAACATTCATCGGACCATAACCATTTATACATTGTTTCTAGGCTAAAGGAAAACAGTATATTGATAAGCAGAACACATTCGACAGTATGTTCAACTGAAGGTGTTCCAAAAGACCCATCAGGAAACAACTCATGTCAATTCAACGCAATTATCATGTTTGAGATCGACTTCATTGCAGTCGGCATCTGCACAATGACTGATCTACAAATCACCTTGGATTCTAAATAACTACTCGTTATTATTTGTAGATCAGTCAGTCGGCTCAGTCTGTGATCAGCTCGAGCTCTCAAACATGAACAAACTACTTTAGATGGTTGCCCTGTTCTGGCCGCCTTTGCATCAGTCTATTGCAGCAGTCTGTTGTCATACCCACCAGACATTGTGTGTCACCATTTGGCAGACAGACAAACATGCTGATTCTAATAACTCTTTATGTTGTCAAGCGGAGGTCCTTCGAATATTACCTCTACCTCGCCACTGTAACTATTCACCATTTAAATCCAATGCAATGAATCATTTAAACTGAGGGGAAGTGGTTTTGGCTGAGAATGCAATCATGTAATTGAATATGGTCATCAATATATATGGCATCTGGTATTTCACAAGCGTGGCCAGACTGGGATGTAATCTATTTCAAACTCAGCTCAACTATGAGTCATGGCCATAGTGTTTTATTGTCATTCACACTAGATGATGAAGAAGCAGGACAGACTGAAACACTGCTTATCTTCATAAGGAGACAGGGAGAGAGAAAGGGAGAGAAGTGAGCAATAGTAATATGTTGTTTAGCCAGAATATTAGCTTTGAGTTTGACCTGCTATCAAAGCTTCCATAAATAATATTGATATTGTAATCTCCAATAACAATCTCAGGCCATAAAATGTAGCTACAAAATGCATTAAATATATTCATCAGGGGTGACATTAATATGCTTCAGGTTTTCTCTAATTACGACAATAAACTTCAAGAAGTCAAACTTCGCTTTTAAAGCAGCAATTCCTTCCTACACTAATAAAATAAAGTATATATTTTACTGATATAGTTAATTTCATCCAACCCTATTTCAAACCACTCACTGTAGAAGTATGTATTGAATTTTGGACAGAAGTGTAAATACCCCAATTACAATTAAACTGACTTCTTCATAGCCGCAGCAAGTCAAGTCAAACGTTGTTTGGTGCAGTGGTGGTGAGATGATTCCACAAATTAGCTGAGTCCGGATATCATTATTCCCCATTATCTAATGGTCATTCCCGGAATCTATAGCCATTCTGATTCAGCAATATTCATTCATGAGTAAATGCGATAAGTAATGAATAAAGCTATTGATCTTAAACAGGTTCCTTAACAGGGTCATAACTGCCCCCCGAAGTCAATAATGATTTTGATAAGAATATATTTATTACAGAAGTGCATACCACTGCAAGAATCACCATCACACCAAAATATCTCTCTAAAGTGTGATTACCATAGGCTGAAATGATTGTTTTCATTAAACAAAATGTTCACTGTTATTGATTGCCTAAATAAGACTCAATATCTTCTCATTTCCAAAGCTGAATGCAATTGCATGGAATAGTAATATCGGCCAAGTATTGTGTATGTTCATCACTGTTATGAGGCTCCCCATTTTCATTCCGTTGAGGATTATAAAACCAGATTAAGTGTTTTTAAATGAGTGCAATTTCTAGAAACCACATTAGTGTTGTCACGCCACACCAACATTTTACAAAGATACGATACCAGGCCAAGTATCACAATACCGAGTAGTATCGCGATACCACGGTGGAAAGAAATCTGTGGCCTAGCATCCTGTTCGCCATGTCCCCCGGACGCATGTTCACGTTTTCTAAACGCTCTCCAAAAACGTGTCACTGAAATTCACACTTCTACTCATTACAACACATTGAATTTAACTTCACACTGTTCAGTGTATAATAGAATACTGCATAGAATGGCTGATTTGCTCATATTTGCAAAGGCCTATGTTCTTCAGAGGAAAGAAACGAATAAAAACAAATATTTACTACACAACAAACATAAGAGGATAAAAAACTAAAGAATAACAATAGAAAATGAACGACTAAAAAGCACCCTAAGGAAAATTTGGCTGGAGGAATGGGAGGAAGGAATATACATGCATAATGATCTGCATATCATTGTCAGTAAGGAGAAAACACTGCATTAAACCTTCTTTACTCTTCAGTAAACACACACCACTCTCTCTCCCCCACACACACACACACTGTCTCCCATACTCTCATAAACACACACCACTCTCTCTCTTCCACAAACACACACACTGTCTCCCTCACTCTCATAAACACACACCACTCTCTCTCTCCCACAAACACACACACTGTCTCCCTCACTCTCATAAACACACACCACTCTCTCTCTCCCACAAACACACACACTGTCTCCCTCACTCTCATAAACACACACCACTCTCTCTCTCCCACAAACACACACACCTACTCCCTCACTCTCATAAATACACACCACTCTCTCTCTCTCCCACAAACGCAAACACACACACTGTCTCCCTCACTCTCATAAACACACACCACTCTCTCTCTCCCACAAACACACACACTGTCTCCCTCACTCTCATAAACACACACCACTATCTCTCTCTCTCTCTCTCTCTCTCCCACAAACACAAACACACACACTGTCTCCCTCACTCTCATAAACACACACCACTCTCTCTCTCCCACAAACACACACACTGGCTCCCTCACTCTCATAAACACACACCACTATCTCTCTCTCTCTCTCTCTCTCCCACAAACACAAACACACACACTGTCTCCCTCACTCTCATAAACACACACCACTCTCTCTCTCCCACAAACACACACACTGGCTCCCTCACTCTCATAAACACACACCACTATCTCTCTCTCTCTCTCTCTCCCACAAACACAAACACACACACTGTCTCCCTCACTCTCATAAACACACCACTCTCTCTCTCCCACAAACACACACACTGTCTCCCTCACTCTCATAAACACACACCACTCTCTCTCTCCAACAAACGCAAACACACACACTGTCTCCCTCACTCTCATAAACACACACCACTCTCTCTCTCCCGCAAACACACACACTGTCTCCCTCACTCTCATAAATACACACCACTCTCTCTCTCCCACAAACACACACACTGTCTCCCTCACTCTCATAAATACACACCACTCTCTCTCTCTCCCACAAACACACACACTGTCTCCCTCACTCTCATAAACACACACCACTCTCTCTCTCCCACAAACACACACACTGTCTCCCATACTCTCATAAACACACACCACTCTCTCTCTCCCACAAACACACACACTGTCTCCCTCACTCTCATAAACACACACCAACTCTCTCTCTCCCACAAACAAACACACTCTGTCTCCCTCACTCTCATAAACACACACCTCTCTCTCTCCCGCAAACACACACACTGTCTCCCTCACTCTCATAAATACACACCACTCACTCTCTCCCACAAACACACACACTGTCTCCCTCACTCTCATAAACACACACCACTCTCTCTCTCTCCCACAAACACACACACTGTCTCCCTCACTCTCATAAACACACACCACTCTCTCTCTCCCACAAACACAAACACACACACTGTCTCCCTCACTCTCATAAACACACACCACTCACTCTCTCCCACAAACACACACACTGTCTCCCTCACTCTCATAAACACACACCACTCTCTCTCTCCCACAAACACACACACTGTCTCCCTCACTCTCATAAACACACACCACTCTCTCCCACAAACTTTTAAAACGATAGGCACCAAACAGAATTTAAGGAGCACCAGAAAGAAATGTATTTTTGATATAGTTTAGTCTTCCATTAGGCCTACATGAATCCTACCTTTGAGCACATCTCATGAGAAGCATACCCTTTTCCTTTCTTCCTGGGCCAATCAGATGAGCATAAACCTACTGTCAAGTTACCAGAATGTTAGCTAGCTAGGTAACATGACTGAACAACATTGTTCATTATCAAACCAATAATTAGTGAATTAGTGATTAGTGAATTAGTGATTAGTTTAAAACGGCCAGCGACATGATTTGTGAAATTATATAAAATGTGCGCGACTCCCGATATAAATAAAAAAAGGCATCTCTGGTAATGGGTCATGTTTTATAACTGTGCAGACTAGAGACAAGACGTTTACTTTGCTGTAAAGCTGCAAGCATGCCTGTCACGATGCGGTCCTCCATTTCACCTCTCTGAGGCTGCATGACAGTGAACTTGCAAAGTCTACTCAGGCTGTTATAACAGCGATGAAATGATACAATGTTTCAACATTACTCGCTTTGCACGCTGCTCCAATGTAACACATGTTCAAATCTAAAAACAGAAGACTCATCAGGGTCTGGGTCTGCATCCCCGCTCGCCATCACGGCTAAATTATATATTTTTTTTTACTGACGGAGGAATAGACGCGCATGAAGAGCGGACGGAGAGAAGCAGGTGAGTGAGGGCTGGTAGGGGATGTGGCTGGCTGATTACAGCTGCCACATGATGTGCACATGAAAGTGAAGTGGATATTACTGGACCTGCTCATACAAGAGCCTAGTGGTTGTTGCTTAAATTCAACAGACTTTATAAACATTTTATAACAGGCGCCAGCAGGTTGTTTAAATCGGTACGGCAGAGTAAGTCGGTAGTATCATATGAAACGGTACTACAGTATTTTTAAATGTTGGTATCATAAGTATATCATGATGTTTTGGTGCTGTGATATTACCATGGTACCGGTATACCATGCAACACTAAACCACACATCCATGCAGAAACATCTGTATACACAGCGCTCTAACCATTGTTTATGATGTACATAATAACTAGAATAAGGGAGGGACAGGGATCTAACACAAGTTAATGAGGTGGTATTCTACAGTAATAAGATGGGCCCACGCTGCATTTCCCCAGTCTAGTAGGCATCACTCTGTTCATTCTGCTAGCTGGAGATAAGCTCTGTGTGTGTGTGTGTCAGATCAAATCAAATCAAATCAAATGTATTGGTCACATACACATGTTTAGCAGATGTTATTGCGAGTGTAGTGAAATGCTTGTGCTTCTAGTTCCGACAGTGCAGCAATATCTAGCAAGTAATATCTAACAGTTCCACAATCAAAACCTAATAAGCACAAATCTAAGTAAAGGAATGGAATAAGAATATATAAATATATGGATGAGCAATGACATTATCAGAGTGGCATAGGCTAAGATGCAATAGATAGTATAGAATACAGTACATACATATGAGATGGGTAATGCAAGATATGTAAACATTATTAAGATAGTATAGAATACAGTATATACATATGAAATGGGTAATGCAAGATATGTAAACATTATGAAAGTGGCCTGGAACACGCACGCACACACACACACACACACACACACACACACACACACACACACACACACACACACACACACACACACACACACACACACACACACACACACACATACACACACACACACACATACATACACACACATACACACACACACATACACACACACATACACACACACACATACACACACACACACACACACACACACACACACACACACACACACACACACATACACACAGGCAGAAAACACTTGTTAAACCCCTATCTATGTCTGCTGGTGGTGGCTTCAAATTACAAACCCAGCTTCCCCTGTGTGTGTGTGTGTGTGTGTGTGTGTTGTGTGTGTGTGAGTACCTGTGGCTCAGGTTCCAGAGGTGACTTTAGTCCTCCGTCTCTGGAGCTGGTCAGACCAGTGCCTCTACCTGACTCTCCACGACCTGACGAGGGGGCCGAGACCTGTAACACACATACATACACACACATACACACACACACACACACACATACACACCCACACACACACACATACACACACACACACACACACACACACACACACACACATACACACACACACACACACACACCATACACACACACACACACACACACATACACACCCACATACACACATACACACACACATACACACATACACACACACACATACACACAGGCAGAAAACTCTTGTTAAACCCCTATCTATGTCTGCTGGTGGTGGCTTCAAACTACAAACCCAGCTTCCCCTCTAACGGATCAATACAGTATATTCATCATTTAATTCCATTCCATTCATTTATTAATTCATTCATTTATTCCCTTCATTCCAAAATGCCCTACACTGTCCACGTGGCAGTCCAGTCCACTGACCTTCCTGGACGCATCAGAGCCTTGGAGGAAGGTTTTGTAGGGACTCTGGGTCTCACCGGCAGGCCTGGAAAACCTCTGGACATACTGCTCTTCCTCCTCGACTACCTGGGCCTCAACCTGGGGGGGTTGACGACCCTCTCTTAGCTTATTACCGCTCATATAGTAGCCCAATACATCTGTATCACTGGTCTTGTCGTCTGTTGATGGTCAGTTACAACTAGCCTGGTCCCAGATCTGTCTGTTTTGACCAAGACAGCACCAACAGATCTGGGACCAGACTACAGCACAACCACTTTGGGTAGTCATTGCATAAGTTTCATGACCATATACTACAGGTATTGCAGGTCATGAAGGTTGATTTTTACCTGGTCAATTGGCAGGTCCACTGTCACTCTGCCATCTTCCTGGATCTCAGCTGCTCCCACCGTTTCACTTCTTTTGTCTTTTGCACGGAACACACTGCCTTCTAAGAAAAGTGATTGATCACAATTACCTCCACTGTCCCTCTTCTCTCTCTCTCTCTCTCTCTCTCTCTCTCTCGTTCCTCCTTAACATCAGAAGTAATCAATGATCATGTCAAACAATTCATTTATTTAGAGTGCAAGCCAAGTGTAAGCCATGAATTCTCCACTACATGTTTGGCCACCCTGCGTGAGGATATGTTCCTACAGTAGTTTCTGACAGTGACAGGTTACTCTTGATGCATTTGAGTAATGCACACCACACTGTCCTTTGGTAGTAAATAAATAGAATTGTGTCTGTGTTTAAAATAACATATATGCCATTTGAACTTTGTTCAGTAACTGTGTGTTCGTCGTAGACAATCACTCTGTGAATTTGTGAGCAAATAATGAAACGAAAGTTCGGACTTTGCCACCAACGTCACCAAATTGAAGCATGTTGCATGGTGTGACGGTGTTCGATTTCACAGAGTGCAGCGCGGATCAATCCTTCCATATCAAGTTCAGAAGAAAAGCCAGGGATGAAAATCTGCTGCCGAAAGCTTTGCCTCCTCTCCTGCGATAGACAGTGGATGCTTGCCAACAGTGCTCCGAGCCACTGCGTGCCTGATAGGCCCTGATTGTCCCTGTGCGGTAAGAGTGATGTGTGTGTGTTTGCATGCATGCTTTTGTGTGTGAGGCCAGATTGATGTAGTTAAGAGGAAGCCTATGGATTTTTCCTATTTTTCTCTTCAACCATTAGTAATGAGTTAATGAGGAGGGGGCTTCTTGCCCCCAGGGGATGATCAAGTGTCCAAAAAGTGGTCAGAGACTTGTGAGAGGAGCTCTCTCATAACCAGGTCTGCAGGGGATGTAGACAGCCAGTCAGGCGCTAATGTGCTGTCCCAATGTGAGTGGAGGAAAGGAAATTCAACTCCATCACATAGGATACTGCTGGCTCAGCTGTAATGTGTGATGTGAAATTATGGCAGGATGCACAAACGGTGGCAATTACTCATTGTATGATGTCATGGTAAATCTCTGGTCCGGACACTGTAAAGAGACACCGGCATAATAACTATTGAATAGTTGAGCATCTAAAGCCACTGGTGTAATTAATGTGTATTGTATAGGTTATGTATCACGATCAAACTGTGAAATTGCCGCGATGCTAAATACCATCAATCTAACAGAGGATTTTGTCAGCTTTATGATCTCTCCGCAATATTATTGTGATCAATAACTTATGATTGTTTTGATTCCCCCATCAGGAGAACATTTTAGCATTTTGTTTTCCTAGCACAGTTAACAAGGCTTTTCTGGATACCTTTTTAACCAAATGGCCTGATTGAATGAATCTATGATTTAGAGCACCGGATGGTGTTTGAAGTTTTGTTCGGTTTAATATTCACAGCGTAAAGAGTTATACATTCTTCCTAAGGCTGAAAACCTGTTCTGTTCCCCTGATGTATGGAAGTTGACTTTGGAGAGCAGGTTGGGAATTCAAAGAAAGCTCTTCAGACTTCCACATGCCTCTGCTATCTCTGTATACACACATGCACACACCGAGTGCTAAGAAAACCTTCCCTTCAACAAAAACAACAGGTTCAATTGATATCACAGAGAGCGAGGAACAGAGAGGGGGGGCGTCGTAAAACAGTGAAACACACATGAAACATTGGAAGATATTTCTATAGGAATTGCTCTACTTACCGCCCGTTGTGTAAAGAAGTGGGAGTCTGGACACCTGCTTCTGTTTTTTGGCTTTCTCTCTCTCTTTCTCTGGCTTGGCGTAGAAGTAAGACTCTGTGGAGTTCTTGGGATGGCCCCTGGCTGTGTGCTCAAGGTCATCTCCAGAGCCTGTGTGAGCAAACTACACAAAGCAAAGACCATGGATCGAATCTGAACCGAAGCCTAGAGAAGTTTTTTTTTTCACTGAGATTGATCTATTTCTTGTTGTTTTCAAAGACTAAAACATGTCGTATTACGTCTAATGTGCTTTAGTACAAAACCTGTTCCCCCTTTCCTGTCTTCCCTTCTTTGTTTTTTACATTTTCCATTGACCTCAATTTTCCATGAGCTGATATGCTTTGTGGCTCCCCAGTGACTCCCACTGTATTGAATTCATTTGGTTCCAATACAACCCATGCAGAACCTATCAATCACTGCGGAGCACAGCAAACAAATAATTTATTGATGAAACAGGGCAGCCATGAATTTCTAACTGCATTCATCTTATTTATCAAGCCAGATCAAACAATGAAAATCCCAATAAGCTTAAAGGGAAAGGGAGTTGCAGGGAATAACTTATTCTTAGAGAAGACGGCAGACGGTTATTGATTAAAAAAAGGGCTGGGGAGCTGAGCGGGAGAGGAGAGGAAGGGACGTAGGGAGGGAGGGAGAGAGAGAGAGAGACAGAGAGAGAGAGAAAGAGAGAGAGACAGAGAGAGAGAGAGAGAGAGAGAGAGAGAGCGAAGAGAGAGAGAGAGAGAGAGAGAGAGAGAGAGAGAGAGAGAGAGAGAGAGAGAGAGAGAGAGAGAGAGAGAGAGGGGGGGGGGGGGGGAGGAAGTGAGTGGGAAGATGAGTTCAGAGTGATGCTTGAGACAGTAGGTTGCTCAGCCTCTTTGTAGGTAGCAAGGTGAGCTGTGTCTCCCTCTGACAAGAAAGGGAAGAGCAGACTTAATTATTTCAGACTTTTTTTTTCAGTTCAGCCTCGATCCCAAGGCTGGTTGGAGGGCCAGTGTACTGACCTCAAGCTTCCACACAAGAACACACTCCGGGCAATGGTGTTTGCCATCCCGTTAACATGGTGTTTGGGGAATAGCGTGGCTGTGTTTCTTCTACTTGTTTGCTTTCTTTAATACAAAGGCAGAGTTTGCGTTGATGTTGTTTTGAATTTATACAGCCGTTGGTGGGCTGGAGAGAAAAATAAAACAACATGAAAAGACTGAAGTTTGCCTGGGATATTCAGTTAGGGAAAGTTCAAAGAGGAGGCTATAGGAGGACGGCTCATTGTAGTGGCTGGACTGGAATAAATGGAACGGAGTCAAACATGTGGTTTCCATACGTTTGATGTGTTTGATACCCTTCCATTAATACCATTCCAGCCATTACAATCAGCCCGTCCTCCTATAGCTCCTCCCACCAGCCTCCTCTAATTCACATGGTGATGTCCGCACCACAGGATCAAAGATAAAAGTTATGAACACACTGTTACAATGCCTTGTTGGTAATTTTTCACATAATTCAGAGTGATATATTGAAAATACCACAAACAAATCTACCCATCTGAAATATAAAAAAAGATTAACACTTTTATCTTTTAAGCCTTGTGGCAAAAAATTCTAAATCTTTAAATCAGCACAAAAAGTGCCCTTCTCAGGGAGAGAGAGAGAGAAGGAGCACTAACAGTGCAGTTAAGAGCTCTGGGAGGACAGTCAAGTACAACTGCAAAATTCAGCAATGTAAAAAGCTGCTGAAGTCATTGCTGCTGCTTCTTTTTTCTCTGGCATTACATACAGTTGAAGTCGGAAGTTTACATACACTTAGGTTGGAGTCATTAAAACTCGTTTTTCAACCACTCCACAAATGTCTTGTTAACAAACTATAGTTTTGGCAAGTTGGTTAGGACATCTACTTTATGCATGACACAAGTAATTTTTCCAACAATTGTTTACAGACAGATTATTTCACTTATAATTCACTGTATCACAATTCCAGTGGGTCAGAAGTTTACATATACTAAGTTGACTGTGCCTTTAAACAGCTTGGATAATTCCAGAAAATGATGTCATGGCTTTAGAAGCTTCTGATAGGCTAATTTACATCATTTGAGTCAATTGGTGGTGTACCGGTGGATGTATTTCAAGGCCTACCTTCAAACTCAGTGCCTCTTTGCTTGACATCATGGGAAAATCAAAAGAAATCAGCCAAGACTTCAGAAAAGAAATTGTAGACCTCCACAAGTCTGGTTCATCCTTGGGAGCAATTTACAAATGCCTGAAGGTACCACGTTCATCTGTACAAACAATAGGACACAAGTATAAACACCAAGGGACCACGCAGCTGTCATACCACTCAGGAAGGAGACGCGTTCTGTCTCCTAGAGATTAACGTACTTTGGTGCGAAAAGTGCAAATCAATCCCAGAACAGAAAAGGACCTTGTGAAAATGCTGGAGGAAACAGGTACAAACGTATCTATATCCACAGTAAAACGAGTCCTATATCGACATAACCTGAAAGGCCGCTCAGCAAGGAAGAAGCCACTGCTCCAAAACCGCTATAAAAAAGCCAGACGGGGGTGGCAGCATCATGCTGTGGGGGTGCTTTGCTGCAGGAGGGACTGGTGCACTTCACAAAATAGATGGCATCATGAGGAAGGAAAATTATGTGGATATATTGAAGCAACATCTCAAGACATCAGCCAGGAAGTAAAAGCTTGGTCACAAATGGGTCTTCCAAATGGACAATGACCCCAAGCATACTTCCAAAGTTGTGGCAAAATGGCTTAAGGACAACAAAGTCAAGGTATTGGAGTGGCCACCACAAAGCCCTGAAATCAATCCTATAGAACATTTGTGGGCAGAACTGAAAAAGCGTGTGCGAGCAAGGAGGCCTACAAACCTGACTCAGTTACACCAGCTCTGTCAGGAGGAATGGGCCAAAATTCACCCAACTTATTGTGGGAAGCTTGTGGAAAGCTACCTGAAACATTTTACCCAAGTTAAACAATTTAAAGGCAATGCTACCAAATACTAATTGAGTGCATGTAAACTTCTGACCCACTGGGAATGTGATGAAAGAAATAAAAGCTGAAATAAATCATTCTCTCTACTATTATTCTGACATTTCACATTCTTAAAATAAAGTGGTGATCCTAACTGACCTAAGACAGGGCATTTTTATTACGATTAAATGTCAGGAATTGTGAAAAACTGAGTTTAAATGTATTTGGCTGAGGTGTATGTAGACTTCCGACTTCAACTGTATCTGCAATGTCCTGTGGGGCGGCAGTGTCTATCGGACCCCGCCGAGACCGGAGTCGTGTGGAATCAGTGAGAAGGACCCGAGAGGGCGGCTGGCGTGTAATCTCTGGCCCTCTCAAGAAGCAGAGTGGAGGAGTCAACGGGAGGACAGTGCGATATGATAGCAGGGGCCGGCATGAGAAAGAGCCAGCAGCAGCCAACCTCCAACCACTGTACAGTATCAGAGCCAGAGTCACTCCCAGTGCCTGGTCCTCGGTGGAAACACAGATAGACAGCAGGCGACTAGGGTGATTTGATTTGATTTGATTTTGTAGCACCACTTCCTCTCAATCAGGTCACATGGGATGGGAATGGTCGAGTTGCAAAGGGGTGATGATATCACCCAATGATGTCAGGGGAGCACTCTAGCTCATCCCTCCCTAAGTCGTCCGCTGTTCTTCTCATATGGCCAGGTGACTGCGTCTACTGGAGCCACTTATGTTACTGTGCTCAATGGACCTCAAACGCAGGAAAATGAAATACTGTTTTCCGGTCATCATCACACATAGACAACTAGCTCAGCCTCTAGGCTGCCAACGGGGACGTACTGTACTGTCAATGCCACATGCTGCAAGCAAAGCCTTCAGTGCAGACTTCAGTGACTACTCAGTGCTCCGGCTGCCCCTGTACAGTACTAAGTGATGGAGAAGCTCTGCTGGTGCAGACAGACACCATGCTCCATGCTCACACAGCAAGGTTGCAGAGCCCGAGAAAGGTTACATTTTACACCAGCCCACAACGAGATGTTACAGAGATTTTACAGGCATTTCAAATCATGTCGCGTGTCGCTTTGTGAGGTCAAACCGAAATGAATGAGGGACACCACCCTATAAACGTATGTTTATCAGTTAGCTAAACAGTTGACAGATCTAACTACAGTGGACAATTTCCCTGCCATTAATCTTGTTTCTGAAACGTCCTCATTAACTGGTCAAATTATATTTACGAATTCATGAGGGGTAAGGCGAGGAGGGAGCTTAAAAGTATGGTAGCGTTTCCAGTCAATGAGTAATAATGGATGAGCTGGCTGAGGGTCGTCACTAGTTACCACATCCACAAAGTCATAATTATGGTTAAACCCTGCCTATTTCTAAAATGTATCTTCTTAAAATCTGATTATAAACATAACCCTAACCGTAAACACAATGACAACCTTATGCCTAACCTTAACCTTAAATTAAGACCAAAAAGCACATTTTGGTTTTCATGAATTTTTACGATATATAGACAATTCTGACTTTGTGGCTGTGGTAACTGGAGACAACCCTGGCTGAGGGATAGAGAGGACATAACGCTGTCTCTGCTTCCCCCTTCTGGTACATAATAAAATGACAGTCTCCCTCTGTGTAGGTCAATGAAATGTGGCAGATAATAACAACAGTATTACGCTGGTTGGTGGAATGAACAGCGCAAACTGCTCTTTGTGGATTCCATCCTGCATTGAAAAACTGACACAAGGCCTCCCGAGTGGCGCAGCAGTCTAAGGCACTGCATCGCAATGCTTGAGGCATCACTACAGACCTGGGTTCGATCCCAGGCTGTGTCGCAGCCAGCTGCGACCGGGAGACCCATGAGGCAGCGCACAATTGGCCCAGTGTCGTCCGGGTTAGGGGAGGGTTTAGCCGGCCGGGATGTCCTTGTCCCATTGTGCTCTAGCGACTCCTTGTGGCGGGCAGGGCGCATGCACGCTGACCTTGATCGCCAGTTGTCTGGTGTTTCCTCTGACACGTTGGTGCGGCTGGCTTCCGGGTTAAGCGAGCAGTGTGTAAAGAAGCAGTGTGGATTGGCAGGGTCGTGTTTCGGAGGACGCGTGGCTCTTGACCTTTGCCTCTCCCGAGTCCGTACGGGAGTTGCAGCGATGGAACAAGACTGTAACTTCCAATTGGGGAGAAAAAGGGGTAAAAATTGAAAAATTGACACAATCATGCATGACCAATTATGTTGCTTCCAAAACAAAAATGACGAAAGGAGCTCTGGTAACTTAATTCACATTTCTGCTGATCCTGATATTTTTTTCTTGCCATTTCAATCACGTTGATAAAGCATTATTATAGTTTGAAGACAAGACAGCACTTCAAGTGTTAAAGCTGCAATATGTAACTTTTTGGGAGACCTGACAAAATTCACATAGAAATGTGACTTCTAGATCTGTCATTGAAAGCAAGTCTAAGAAGCGGTAAATCTGTTCTATGTGAGCTATTTCTATGTTTCCATTTATACGTTTCGTTTTTGAGTCTTTTACTGTCGGTTTTGTACACCAGCTTCAAACAGCTGAGAATACAATATTTCTGGTTAGAGAAAATATATTTCACAGAGGTTTGGATGGTACAATGATCTAAGGCACTGCATCTCAGTGCTAGGGGCGTCACTACAGACCCTGGTTCGATTCCAGGCTGTATCACAATCCGGCTGTGATTGGGAGTCCCATAGGGCAGTGCACAATTGGCCCAGCGTTGTCCGGGTTTGGCTGGGGTAGGCCGTCATTGTAAATGAGAATTTCTTCTTAACTGACTTGCCTAGTTAAATAAAGGTTAAATAAATAAATATACTATACTTGCTTGTTTTGTCATATAAATGGAAATTAGGCAAACTATTAACATTTTAGCAGCCAGGAGCGATTTCTGCATAGAGCATCTTTAAAAAGGAAGAGCTTTTCCTATATCAGAAAAAATTGGACACATGCCATGCTGTGACTGTCATCGTTCATGGTTAGAAAAATCTGTTGTCAGATTTCTCCCCATACAGCCTGATCTCTAACAGACCGCTGAGTGTGCATGTTCTCTTCTTCTTCTTCTTCTTCTTCTTCTTCTTCTTCACTTGTTTGTATGTAAGTGGCGCTCATCTTGGGCCCTGTGCAATTCTCATATCACTGCAATGCATTTCACTGTCAGCATACAAATTGTCCCGGTTCTGGAGGAATTAGCTTGGTCCCTTGGTGAATCTGTTCAGTCTATGAGACTCGCTGCTACTTGATCAAGCGGCCAGGCTCATTCTGTTACCTATCAAAGTGGAAGGCAATGGTAACTCAATGCCTCCCCCAGACAGTGATTGATGATAGGACTGTCTCGTAACGAATCACACACGGTAAGGCTCATGAACGACAATTGAAATGCTGTACGCAACGGAATACTTTTACACTGTTCACTGTTCTAAGTGTGAAGATAATGTACAGTGATACTGTACAGTATCTCCTTGAAAGAAAATGATTGTAGGATAAACTGTGATCACAGCTGTTTCCTACTTCAGGGTGATAAAAAATGATATTTTTTTTATGGAACGCTTTAGTGGAGGTCTTTATTTCTTGCCCCTCCTGGACTGAGAATAATGCTTTCATGGGGGGAGGTTAATACAAGCATGTACTGTATGTGGTGTATACTGATATACTTTTGGCCGCACAGTAGGCCTACTTACTTTTGCATGTTTGCCTTTCCTTGTGGGAACTGGGACTGGGAGACTGTCATTGTTGACTCTAAGGAAAATCTAGTAATTAGTAAGAAGAACACCATAATCTGAATGAAACCAACAGAACATACAATTCCATTAACTTGAATGATTTCTTTTTCTGGAGAGGAATAAATCATTTTTCTTACGCATGATGACTGTTGTCCCGGATGATTCCTCTGCCGGGGACCCACTGGAAGTATGGCGAGAAGCGGAACTTCTCAGCTCCCACAGCAACATAATACTGGTTGTTCTCTAGCTCCACTGGCCCAAGTAAAGTAGTCCCATCTAATGTGCACAGTCTAGTTATCAAAGAAAAAGTATTTTTTAACATGTGAAAACCTTTCAATATTTAATAATAATAATAATATGCCATTTAGCAGACGCTTTTATCCAAAGCGACTTACAGTCATGCGTGCATACATTTTTGTGTATGGGTGGTCCCGGGGATCGAACCCACTACCTTGGCGTTACAAGTGCCGTGCTCTACCAGCTGAGCTACATATTTCAATGGTATGAAAGGCAACACTGATTATGTGATTATGTAAATCATAAATGAGGTCAACGCTACAAGTTGGATGACTTTTCATTTCATTTCAAAACAATTGATCTATAACATAAAGAGCTATTATTAGTTATTTCCTACCTGTACACAGCACCAGTGCGCAGATTCACCCTCTGGGTCACCATGGCCAAGACCCTTTCCCAGTTTGTGAGAGTATACTTTGGTATCAGTATCCGAGCTGGAGGAACCAACACATCTCCATTGGTAAAAACACTACAAAATACAAAAACACATGAAACTCAGTACCATTTTATGGGCTTGTGGTTTCAACATGGTTATGATCATTGACATTTTCAACATCAGAAATGTTGTAAGCCTACATAAATCGATTGAATCTAATAAAGTAGAATAAATAACATCTCCTTAAGTATTACGTGACACAAGAAACATTTCAACCCTACATAGTTTTGGCATTTATAGAATGACATGACAAGTGAAAAGAGTTAATGCATATTTTGTATAGCCTATATCCCATTGCAAACACTAATTTCACATTTTAGTAATTTAGCAGACGCTCTGATCCAGAGCGACTTACAGTTAGTGAGTGCATACATTTTTCATACTGGCCCCCCGTGGGAATCGAACACACAACCCTGGCGTTGCAAGCGCCATGCTCTACCAACTGAGCTACAGGAGGCCTAATGTTTGCAACGGCACAATATGATTGTAGGACACTTGAAAACCCAAACTCACTTGATAGTGCATGACTCGTTTATAATTTTCCTCCAGCGAGCAGAAACAACTATTCTACTGTGAACTACAGGTCGGATCTGTGATTTAAAACAACAGAAAGAAAAATTGTTATTGTATTACATGGTTATTACCAAGAACCTTGCAATATTGTAAGATGATTGTGTGAATGTAACAGGCCTATCTTTCAGAGGTGCTCATGCATTCCTTTACTGACAAAGACATGGTGTGGCCAGTATGGTATCAAATATCAGTTCAGTTAAAGTCGAAAGCAATTAGGCTAATTAGTAATTTGCAAAAAATATTTTTTTTAAGATGAGGGTATAGTCAGTGGCCTTACCTGTTCATTCTTCTTTTTCTGTGGTTTCTTCGTTGTTATATGGTAATAACTAGAATGAAAAACAGTAGATTACATTACAAATTCCATACATCTTGGTTTAGCTAGTCATTTTAGGTACACCTGCAACTTTGTTTATAGATTAAAGAGGATTATTTATGTCTGGCTGCACCCCCAACAACAACAATGCAGTCTAACAATAACATCAGCCTTATCATTCCCGGCTAATTACAGTGTACATACTCAAGCTTTTTGAAACGCTCTCCTCCGCCTGCAACATATCTCTCCCCGTGCTGCAAGTTGACGAGGTCATGGATTTTGTGTCCTTCCCTTGGAGTGTAAACATTTCGGACCGCTCCAAAAGGAGCCTCTACCCCACGCGTGACAGAGCTCAAAAAGCTGTCAAACGTTGACATCTGTCGTTGATTTATAACAAACTTTCGTCCAGGAAAGAAAGCATCCCCATTCCTGTAGACAACAATAGTTTTTGTGGGAGGCTGCGGGAGTACCGCTCTACCTGAAGTCCCAGACATGTTCATTTGATCACAACGGTGACAGACAACGTTCCAGAACCGAGGTCAAAATGGCAAAGTTAGCTAGTAGTTAGCCAGCTAAAGTAAGCTAGTGAATTCGATTTTTCTCGCAAAGAAATCGATATCTGAAGATGAGACAGACGTCCACTTGGGCGCGCATCTTATCAAGAAGCCTATCCTTCGTTACAGATGTTTCTGGTCAACAAACTTGCTGTTGTTCCCGTGTTGTTTCTGTTTTCAAAAACTGTCCAGCCTTGTGGCTACCACCAATCTAATTTATGTTGTTGAATGTGTTTCCAAGGAAACCTGTGGTGGGAAAGCGCGCGTTCTCCAGAAATGCTTGGCGACCAACGGGCCACATGCAATGATACAGTATATCAAATAGGATCCCGCGAAAGTGACCACACCAAGCACAACAAGGCTATGCTTCAGTATTCATACTATCCATTCATTTTGTAAATCTTGAATTTGCAAGTTGCATTTCTAAAGTTATTCTTGAAAAGGCTCAATGGCATTTAAAGGTGAGAAGAAACAACAAATGTGTGACAGATAATTTCTCAATAATATAAACCATGCCAGGATGGCACATTGGGGCCCCCAACCTCCGTAGGAAATTGAAACACTTGTGTGTTCATTTACATGTACATTTTAGTCATTTAGCAGACGCTCTTATCCAGAGCGACTTACAGTTAGTGAGTGCATACATTTTTCATACTGGCCCCCCATGGGAATCGAACCAACAACCCTGGCATTGCAAACGCCATGCTCTACCAACTGAGCTACACAGGGCTACCGTTCAGCTTTTGTATTACAGTGTTCAGTTCATAATGTGGTCAAATGTGGTCATTGCTATTACTTTGGTATTTCGGATCAAACTAAGTGTTAACTGTACACTACATTTCACCAATCAGATGTAGCAGTAGACCTATCTGCCTGACATCACAAATAGCCTACCAGTTTGAATTGCATTATAGATTACAAACATACTTCTTCCAGACTTGCATGTGGATGGAATCCTTAATTACATTATTAGGTGGGAGTTTTTCCACAAAGCATCACCCATGGACATGGTTACGAATTTTTCCACCCGAATAACCTGCCAATGTTTCCCTCCCCTCAGTCAGTGCTGTCCAAATTGTTTACTGCAGAGGTAACCAGAGATTTCACCACTACAACAGTAGCTAATTGGTTTTTGCCAGACACTCTCCTGGTCAATGGGATGCATAATTAATCATCTCTGTGTTCATTATTCATGACTTAAGGGACCACTCATACTGTGCTTTATCAAAAGAACCGTGCCATGCGTATACAAAATTGATCTGAATTTGGGTTTGGTTTACAGTATGATTTAATTTTGGATGCCCTGTTGAATCTTTAAAATAGTGTTGTTGAGACAATCTCAAATTAAATAATGATAAACCTTTGTCTGGATTCCAGAGGTTAAATGAGTATCAACGTTTAAGACTTCAAGGAGAGATAGAAACCAGATATGAGCGGATTACTCCAAAGCTGTATCTGGTGACCTTGTCTGGAGTCAGTTCCATCACATATAGTCTGCACTCAGCTCTATTGAGCCTACCTGTCAGTCTGAAATCTGGACCGTCCGTGATAACCCAGTAACCTTCCTCCAGTCAGGATCCTTCTGGGTATTGCTATCCGGGATCCTTGGGATGTCCCTACACTAAACCTAACCTCAACCCTTACCTTAAAGCAACAATCAACAGTAGAAACAATAATGCGTACTCCCCGTTTGTTTCGGTAAAAAGCTGAGGGATGGGGCTGGAGAAATGTAACCACTCTCAAATTCATGTAATATAATATTTAGCAGACGCTTTTATCCAAAGCGACTTACAGTCATGCGTGCATACATTTTTATTTTTTTGTGTATGGGTGGTCCCAGGGATTGAACCCACTACCTTGGCGTTACAAGCGCCGTGCCGTGCTCTACCAGCTGAGCTTTGGATGCAAGGACTGACCATCCATGATATCACAAGTATAGTTTTAACCATGTTTTGAGGCTATATAGTTTTTGTTTACATTTACTTAGTTTACAGACCTTGGAGTAAAACAAGCCTATATTTTGGGTTCTGATGGGGTACCACAGTTGAGCTAAGCTCATGAGGCATTTATAAATTATATTCTTCAAGAATCAATGGGTTCATATCATCAATTTATAAGTCCAAAAATAGATGTAGCAACTGTTGATTAAGATGCAGCAGAGCCAGCGCAAGATGTGGCTTGGAAAACTAAGCTCAATGCAGGGATGGGATATGCCACTTTATTCCAAATGTTACCTTTATCCTCACTGATACAGGCGCACTGTGGTCCTGTGTGGCTCAGTTGCTAGAGCATGGCGCTTGCAACGGCAGGGTTGTGGGATTGGTTTCCATGGGGGAGCAGTGTGAAAATGTACGCACTCACTACTGTAAATGGCTCTGGATAAGAGCATCTGCTAAAATGACAAAATTGAAATACTGCTAGTTTTCCCAGAAAACTGCCCTTTTCGTCCTCATGCTATATAGCAGTAGCCACTGCAGCCATTATGGAATGGCACGTCGCGTTGAACTACTAAGGAGTTGATTGGCTGACACTGCCATTCCAAAATGGCTGTGGTGACTAGCTACCATGAGGACGAAAAGGGCAGTTTTCAGGAAAACTAGCAGTATTCCAATCTCAATGTATCAGTGTGGATAAAGGTAACATTTGGAGTACAGTGGCATATCACATACCTGCATTGAGGTACATTGTCCAACCCATATCTAGCTCCAGCTCTAAGGTGCCTTAATGTAACCATGATTGCGTTCCGACTCCAGTGCAGCTCAGCGTAAACAAGCATAACAGTAGGGTCGGAAACTTCTGGCAACATTTCCCCAAGTTTACCACCACAGAGACACAGGACCACAGGTATGACCACACCTTTATTTTTCTCAGGCAGGAACTTAACAATTAACAGGTGCTGGATTGGCAGAACTCCTAACCCTGTTACACTGTCAAAAATCTACTTGTGTACTCACATTACCAACGTCACACCACTCCTCTTCCTCAATCAGATTCAAATCCACATAAGGCTTTGGAAAGAACTATGGAGGAACATTCCCCAGTGCCACAGATTTTTATTTTTTATTTTACCTTTATTTAACTAGGCAAGTCAGTTAAGAACAAATTCTTATTTACAATGACGGCCTACACCGGCCAAACCCGGACGACGCTGTGCCAATTGTGTGCCGCCCTATTACCAGATCCCTGAGACCCTACTCTGCTACCATTTTTCCAATCCAAAGCCAAAAAAACCCTGTTGAGACAGTTACCCTTGTAAGGCCTCAACAGGTGCAGTCTTAAAAGCACTATTACACAGCCTAAGTGCCCTCTATTGAATCCTACCAATCTGCAGCAGCAATATCTTTGCTACAGCGCCATGCACAAATCATCCATCATCACTTGACGACCTGATCAGAACCAACCTGTGCTAGCCTGAAAACTCTTGATTCAGATTGAGCTCAGGTGTAGTCATTTACCAAAACGAATTACTATGCCCACAAAAGGACTTCCTGTTGGGCCCATATATGGAGTTCCTGCAAGGACCCCATTCCAACATTCATTCTAGATGATGCAGCTATGCCCATATATGGAGTTCTAGTCAGGGGCTCCATGCCAACATGAATTTTCCCCTATTAAGACTGTCAGCTCCTGACAGGAGGAGTGACTCTACAGTGCCTTTCGTTAAGTATTCAGACCCCTTGACCTTTTCCACATTTTGTTACATTACAGCCTTATTCTAAAATGTATTACATTCCTTTTTCCCCTCATCAATCTACACACAATACCCCATAATGACAAAGCAAAAACAGGTTTTAAGAAATTGTTGCTAATTTATAAATAAATAAAAAACTGAAATATCACATTTACATAAGTATTCAGACCCTTTACTCAGTACTTTGTTGAAGCACCTTTGGCAGCGATTACAGCAACAAGTCTTCTTGGGTATGACACTACAAGCGTTGCTGCACAAATATTTTCAGGTCTCTCAAGAGATGTTAGATCGGGTTCAAGTCCGGGCTCTGGCTGGGCCACTCAAGGACATTCAGAGACTTGTCCCGAAGCCACTCCTGCATTGTCTTGGCTGTGTGCTTAGGGTCATTGTCCTGTTAGAAGGTGAACTTTTGCCCCAGTCTGAGGTCCTGAGCGCTCTGGAGCAGGTTTTCATGAAGGATCTATTTGTACTTTGCTCTGTTCATCTTTGCCTCGATCCTGACTAGTCTCCCAGTCCCTGCCGCTGAAAAACATCCCCACAGCATGATGCTGCCACCACCATGCTTCACCGTAGGGATGGTGCCAGTTTTCCTCCATATGTGATGCTTGGCATTCAGGCCAAAGAGTTCAATCTTGGTTTCATCAGACCAGAGAATCTTGTTTCTCATGGTCTGAGAGTCCTTTAGGTGCCTTTTGGCAAACTCCAAGCGGGCTTTCATGTGCCTTTTACTGAGGAGTGGCTTCCGTCTGGCCACTCTACCATAAAGGCCTGATTGGTGGAGTGCTGCAGAGATGGTTGTCCTTCTGGAAGGTTCTCCCATCTCTACAGAGGAACTCTGGAGCTCTGTCATGGGGTTCTTGGTCACCTCCCTGACCAAGGCCCTTCTCCCCCGATTGCTCAGTTTGGCCGGGCGGCCAGCTCTAGGAAGAGACTTGGTGGTTCCAAACGTCTTCCATTTATGAATGATGGAGGCCACTATGTTCTTGGGACCTTCAATGCTGCAGAAATTTTTTGGTACCCTTTCCCAGATTTTGGTACCCTTTCCCAGACACAATCCTGTCACGGAGCTCTATGGACAATTCCTTCGACCTCATGGCTTGGGCTTTGTTCTGACATGCACTGTCAACTGTGGGACCTTATATAGACAGGTGTGTGCCTTTCCAAATCATGTCCAATCAATTGACTTGACCACAGGTGGACTCCAACCAAGTTGTAGAAATATCTCAAGGATGATCAATGGAAACAGGATGCACCGGAGCTCAATTTCGAGTCTCATTGCAAAGGATCTGAATACTTATGTAAATAAGGTATTTCTGTTTTATATTTTTAATACATTTGTAAAAGTTTCTAAAAACCTGTTTTCGCTTTGTCCTTATTGGGTATTGTGTGTAGATTGCTAAGGATTATTATTTTTTAAAATCCATTTTAGAACATAACAAAATGTGGAAAAAGTCAATGGGTCTGAACACTTTACGAAGGCACTGTATGCTGCTCACTCATAATCTATCAGTATAAGGTGATCTGTTGTTAGATGGAACTACAGTATAATTGATTTGGGATATGGTCTTCATTGCAAAAGATTACTGTTACAATTTTCTGATCACATGTCATTTTTGTGTCTAACCTTTCAAAGGTCATGGCATCAAATGTTTTCACCAGATGTAATAAAGACGTTAGTGTTACATCGTGAGCAGACAGTTATCCAGACCTTTTGCTTCTGTATCTGGTCGGATTAGAGGTATGCCTATAGAGTAACATGGGACTTGTTTTATAAACATTGGTATGAGAGGAAAAGGTCATTTTAAGGACTGTAATTGTTTTAATGAAATTGTAGATGATCTGCAAGGGTCAGAAACCTATTAGTCTATAAGTTCATAGGTTCACATGCAAGGTATGCCGGTTGAAATTGAATGATGTGTTGTCAGTATATTTTGGTTTCCTAGAAATAGCCACATCTGGTTTGTGTCTTTCTTATCTTTCCATTATAAATTGTGAACATCATTTTAATTTGGTAACACATTGGAAAAACATTCCCGATTGCTCTATGTGAGGAGATCAACAGTGAACATTGGTAGGAGTGTTTCACTATTGACCACTAGGTGGCAGTAGCCTACAGAATACACCAGTAGGACAGTTATATAGCGTTTACCAACTTGTAAATTAAAAAATCATAAAATATAAATAAACTACTATTAGTATCAGTGTTTATTTTGTACATTACAGGCAAATGAGCAATACCAAACCAAATATTTCACCATCTGCATCCCTGAGGACACTGTTCCATATTTTATAATAGAGATACTTCATTCAGTCCTTGAAAGCCTATTGGTAAAACAGACATTTTATTTGTTTCTGTTTTTGCTGATGAATATCCCATAATTTACCAGAAACCATTAATTATCTGACTAATTTCAGCTACATAACCTCTGCACCATCATTGAAGTCAAGGCACACGGCAGAAGTCAAGACATCTGACAGACCTCCAATTTGTAAGTCGCTCTGGATAAGAGCGTCTGCTAAATGACGTAAATGTAAATGTAGAGCTCACATGCACTTTCAAGCCCATCCCCAACTACTCTATGCCAACCTACCTAGCTAGCTTGTCTGTACTTCCTGTAAGTGTGCATTCCAAGAAACTACTTTCATAAAAAGATAACGGACCAACAATATGAACATACTACAAGACATGGTTGTGTATTTTCCAACATGTATTAGGTAATAGTAAATACATTTAGCATCTACAGTAACTCACTACTTTGTTGAGTTTGCATGGTCCATATTAAAGCAATATAGTATTTTTCACGTCCAATATTCAGTACTGTGAATACATTTTTAAAAAAGAAATAAAAAAAAGACTAAATAAATAACTTCAAATGTTTTTAACTAATTACTTTAACAAAAGATAGTAAAGTAATGGCTAATAAACTAAAGTAATACATATAATTAGTATACTTCAAGATACAGTATCTGACCTAACATCTAACATAACTCACATAAACATGACAAGAAACAGACCCCAAAAAATAATGAGTTATATATTTCTTGTTGTTGTTGAAAACAATCAGATTAAGAGATCAAAGGGAAAGTTGATATAGCCATTCAATGCAAAGGTTTATAAAAACAGCATCCATTCAAATCAAACTTTCAAGTCAAAAAAGAAGAATCCTGGAAAAATGTACGTCAATACACAGTATTCTATACACAGTATTCTATAATGTACAATGATATTTAGCACTGGTGGGTGATTAAACAAATGCAGCTGTGTCAAAATAATTCTACACACTGAACAACATCTGTATAACTCTATAAAAGGCTTCTCTATAATTGAAGCCTCTCTCTGTCATGCAGCTCCAATGAAGTCCTTTGCCCTCCCTTCCAACTCACTACCACTCTCAACAAAATGCCCCTCAGACACTGTCCTTGTCAAACTCACACACAAAGTACATGGTGGGATGGCAGGCCACATCTGTCCAGTCCCCCGCCGCCACCATCTCAGCACAGTCCTCATCCCTGTAGGCATTGTTGGGTTCCCCTTCCCTCCACTTGCTGAAGGTGCTCATGGGGGAGCGATCCACGTAGGTGAAATGGCCCTCGCGGTCTATGTCGTTGATGCCAATGTACACCCGGCTCAGGCCCGCCTCAGTGATGTACCCAGCGATGGCCGCGTTGGCCCCCTCGTCCTTGGGCATGGCCAGGTGTCCACCCCTTCCCTGACAATAGACCTCAGCATCTGTGTAACGCTTCTCCTCCTTGACTAGCAGATAGACCCTACTGTCGGTCTCTTTGATGCCGGCGACAGCTGCAGGGGAGGGCAGTGCTGAAAAATGAGCACTTGTATTTCTATAATCACACTGACATATATACCCAGCATTCACATTGTGCACGGAAGCAAATAAAGCAAATTGGTCATAGATGAGAGTGATACTGAAAATAAACTGATGTCTTTACCTTTGCGTTACTCTTTGGAAATTCCTAATTCAACATTCATACTTTACTATAAACCAGACATCCTAAAAGCGTACCAGTTTTGATGAACTTCATCTCATTGGATAACTGGGCCACTAGGATGTCCATCTCACCAATCATCTTCCTCAGGGGCGTGCATTCACATGGAACACCTGATGAGACAAAAGGAATACATATTTTCCTAATTCTTTGTGGACGTATTGTTAACTAGACCTGTAATGTTACTCCAAACAAATACATGTTGTACCTGGATCACCATTCGGGCCCATTGGCCCAGGATCCCCCATATCTCCTTTTAAACCTGTGCGTGGAAACATTGTCAAAGTACGTGGAAAATATGGTAATGCATCCCAAAACACTAGTGCAAACGCATGTTCTTCTGGGTTTTTTCCTACCTTTGACTCCACAGGGGCCCATTTTCCCATAATGTCCCATAATACCCTTCTGTCCTTTAACTCCAGTATGTCCTGCAGGGAAACATGTGTCACTGTAACTAGAGGTGTTCTGTGATTGATTTCAGAATCAAATGAATAATTGGGGTAAATAACAAAGCCTCCATGTGAGCATTTAATCTGTCTTTGATGTCAGCCTCCACCAGCCATCATCAACAGCTGCAGTCAGCACCGGTCAGTGATTCAGGGGATTCTGGGTAGCGTTTCTCACACGACCTCTGACCTAAAGTAAACATTCTGCTGCTCTGGACTCCCTAGCAGCGATGTAACCAGAGCACAACATCCTCTTGGAGAAATTATTGTCAACGCATGCTGTGATCTTTACCCTAGTTCATAGACAATAACAGTCCAATTAAATAAACTCTAGAATCATGTTCTTAACCATTCTGAACAAAATCTGTATGGTTTTCGTCTCTTGTAAAATACATTTGTCCACAAGTGTAGTGAGACACCATAGTGAGAGACCAAAGGGTTATCCAAATACCTTTCCAAAGCTCAATCAGAAGTGATGTTTAAACAGCTTTTCATGACAACCAAATTCTCAAGCAGATAACTACACCCAACATTCTCCGAAGCTGAAAAAACAGCCACTGCCAAATTACCAATCAATCTATTTCTCAAGTTTCCCAAGCCTCCATAGAGGAGTCATCAACACTTTGTGATATTGTGAGGGATGAAGCATAGCACCTGTACAGAGAGAATACTGCACATTGTATTTGTTTCTGTTTTCAAAGATGGAGGCTTACCTATCTCCCCTAGTGGACCCACTCTTCCTGGTCTCCCAGGTGTCCCTTTCTCTCCCTTTTCTCCTGGCTCTCCTGTCAAATGGAGAGAAAGCTTCACGAATCAAAAAAAGCTTAATGGATCAACAACCTCACAACTCTGGAATGTTATGTTACTATTGTTGATAAATAGTGCACAGTGCAACCCTATGAAATGAGCCCTATGTGTTTTCTGAGCATGTTTTCATATTCCTTCATTTTTTATGAAGGCGTGAGTGTATAGAGTACCACAGTATGAGTCATAATACCCATAAAACCTAGCGGTCAAACAGGGAAATGTTTCTAATCGTTTTTGCACCATTCATTTTTCCCACAGGGGATTTTAGAAAGACTTAAAATAAGGGCTGTGTTTTGTGTAGTCTTACCCTGGCGTGACATTTTCATAACCGTGCAAATCTCTCTAGGACAATATATGATATATTCGCCTATATTTACCCCCCAAAAATGAAATGCTAATTAGCTGCTAATGTGGCTATCATAAAGAACTACAAATGCCATGATGATCTGGAGGAGACTGCCGAATCGAGACAAAGGTAAGAATCTCTGGATTAACTATCTAATGTTAGCTAAATGTAGTAATTCATAAATTGGCTCAAATTCTGTGAATTGTCTTGTGCAAGTTTTAAAATTGACACAATACCTGTTAGCAAAGGTGTCAGATAGAGATGACGTGCAGGAGCTTGCAGGGATTTGTAGTTTTGCATGATGTAGACTTTGTCGCTAAATAGCATTTTCGAATCAGAGTAAATAGAGCCCAATATATTGATAAGTCACCTTGTCCGAGAGAGATTTACATGGTTATCAAAACGTCTCGCCAGGGTAAGCCTACACAAAACACAGCCCTTATTTAAAGTGTTTCTAAACTCCCTATGGGAAAAATGGTGGATAAACGATTGGAATGTTTGACCGCTAGGTTTTATGGGTATTATGACACCTCCACTGTGGGGCTCTATTGTGTGTGAATTACACTGAGTGTACAAAACATTAGGAACTGGATCCCTTTTTGATGTCACCTGTTAAATCCACTTCAATCAGTGTAGATGAAGGGGAGGAGACAGGTTAAATAAGGATTTCTAAGCCTTGAGACAATTAAGACATGGATTGTGTATGTGTGCCATTCAGAGGGTGAATGGGCAAGAGAAAATATTTAGATAAGTGCCTTTAAATAGGGTATGGTAGTAGGTGACAGGCACACCGGTTTGAGTGTGTCAAGAACTGCAACACTGCAGGGTTTTTCATGCTCAACAGTTTCCCATGTGTATCAAGAATGGTCCACCAACCAAAGGACATCCAGCCAACTTGACACAACTGTGTAAAGCATTGTAGTCAACATGGGCCAGCATCCCTATGGAATGCTTTTGACACCTTGTACATTCCATGCCCCGATGAATTGAGGCTGTTCTGAGGGGAAAAGGGGGTGCGACTCAATATTAGGAAGGTGTTCCTAATGTTTTGTACACTCAGTGTATATGCCTTTGAGTCCTGGGACGAGGATCTGGACAGAGCAGGGTTCGTCTGAGATGTGCTGTCCGTGAGCTGACTCCATCAGGGTCAGCCCCAGTAGAGTGATAAGTACACAAGGCATCAGCTCCTCTGCTCTCATCCTGCAACATGGACGGGTTGATGGACTGGAAGACATTTAATTAGATATTCACTGAATGGCAAATACACACACACACAAATAGATACACTAAGAGAGCTGAGGTAAGACTGATTGGCAGACAATTGAGAAAATACAATGTCATGGTTGGCACCGTTGTACAATTAACGCAGATATGAGCAATGATTCTTCAGTCCTATGTGATAGTTTGCTTTTATACAGTACATCAGAACAACTGATTTTAGACCTCAAATCAACTATCACATCACTCAATACAAAACAATGTGATTGACTAAAACTTAGTAGCCTAGGCCAGAAGTTTCCTGACATAAGACCAAATGTTCTTCTCTGGCTTAAATTCCCTTAAAGTGCCTTGGGACATTCCAGATGAAACAAGACAATGTGCTGTGACGGATCGCATACAGACAAACATCCAAAGACAAACCAACCAAGCTTGCTTCATCATGGCATACACAGAGCATATCATATGGGTCTGGAGTCACATCAACAGTTCTAAATGTAACCTACCTTTTGTGGAGTTTTCCAGATCCCCAAAGCAGCAAGTAGCTTCAGCTTGAGGATTTTCCCAAATTATCCTCTTGAGTTAACAGGGGTTTGCACACTGGTGGTCTTTTCAAAGGATTTCATTTTTCCTCCTCAGGACCGTAGAATGTGTGTGATAGGTCTTCCATAAACAGTTTCACAGATAAAGCCAGGGGCAGCTGGGGTCTCAGAGATAATTGGATGGGAAAGCGAGGGGGTCACTGACAGCATCCACGTCTGGGGTGTATTCATTAGTCGGATTCAAAACATTTTGCAACGGAAACCATTTACTCTAGGAACCAAACGGAAGCAAGCAGAGCAAATGGAACGAAACGGGAAGGGACCTACCTGAATTTGTCCAATAGAGAATCTTGTCTTCGTTGCAAAACGTTTTCCGTTGGAGTAAACCGTTTCCGTTACTAAACGTTTTACTACCGACCAAACGTTTTGCAACGGATTCCGACTAATGAATACACCCCTGATAACACACAAACTGATGCTGCGTTCAAAACAACTGGGAACATGGAAATATCCGACTTCAGCGCGTTCAAGACAACTGGGAACTCTGAGAAAAATGAGCTCAGACTGGGAAAAATCAGTTTGAACAGTCATCCAACTCTTTCTAAGTCGGAAACTCTGGCATCTTTCTAGAGCTCCGACTTTCCGACCTAAAGTTCACTGACGTCGTGGTTTGAACTAGTTTTTTCCGGGTTCCCAGTTTTCTTGAAAGCACCATAAACTTCAGGGGGATTGATTTAAACTACAAGGTCCATTGATTTTCACACAAAATGTATTTTCTGTGAATAGGTATGATCTAGCTAGTAACGCACAACACAACAATAAATTAGGCGGTGGGGGTGCATCGCTTTCCACGCTCATCGTTGCGATTGGTTGTTGCAACGTAATGACCCAGCATCTAAGGTGTTGATTGGCCCAGCCTAGAATCAACGTTGAACGTTTACTATATTTGAGTTCATTTTGCATGGCCCGGTGCTCCGGATGAGTGGAGTTGTTCATTTTAGATCGTTGCATTGGAATCTCCACTCACCCGGGGCACCGGGCCATGCAATACGAACTCCACCATTTTTGTTGACACCACTAGTACACGGACAGATGGTCACATGTGTGCGTGCAAATCATATCGGTCATCATCAGCATTGCTGATATGTTCTGGGATCAAACAAGGCTAGTATTTCGCTAGATGAATGAAATGTAAAAGTTACGTCATCCAGCAATTATATCTGTGTATGTAACACAACCCAACCCAGTTAGCGAGCGAACTGGCTAGCCACGTTTGCGTTAACTAAACGTTAGCTAGAGCGCTAACATGGATTGTTAATCCAGTGAACATTTTTGTTGGGTTATTGTTTGTGTGTGTGTGAAAAAATCTTGTGTGGTAGCCGTAATGGATTTGGATTTCCTCAATTGAAGATGTGTTTTCATTCCCAACTGTTTCTGCCTGTAGTGTTGACTGACAGAACTTTGTGCAAATAAACCTTTGACAATAGGAAATGTCATCAGACTCAATATGCTGGGATTTGGCAAGCTGTCAAGGTATGTGTTTCTTGCTTTCTCGCTTACAAACTCATGTCAATGTGTTTAACAATGATCTTTCTTTAGGATAATCTGGAGTAATGCAGTTACAGCCAAGTCATCGACAGCGGTGATTACTTCTTTGTGAGCCAGGTACCCTCTCCAGGAGTGGTTGTCCAAAGCAGAATCTTCCAACATGGATTTGCCCCTGCTGTAGTTTCTCAGAATAATGCCCAATGGTGAAATATTCCCATATTTAAAATATAATGAAGGGTTTCAAACATTTGTCAATCTCATGTCTGTAATGTATTATAGGAATGACCGTGTGCTACATCTTCAAACAGAGGAATCGCCCAAAAATCCTTCCCTCCTAGAAAACGCAGGTAAATTGTTACTTCACTGCCGTTTCAGAAGAAGCCTACTGTACAGAGTCAATCCTATCCTTGACATAATGCTTATTGTGTTGATGTTTTGATGTAGTTGTGTTGTGCAGTGATGATGAGGAAGATACCTCTGTCCGTTCTGTAACTCCAACATCAGGGACCAGCCAGTCCTCACCAATGCCCTCTAGTGGCATTGAAGAGACAGTTGATGATGATCACTTTAAAAGCAATGACTTTGCCAACTCCAAAACCGGGCTACCAAGGACAATTGTCCGTGATCAAATGTCATTGGATTCTGGAAGACCGGTTAAAACGATTGAAAGGAAAATGAAAACATTTGAGTTCCCTCATTTCTGTTCCTGCCAAATACAACCTTATGTATGTGATTTTGTTTACACCTATTGACACAGTCTCTGTTATGTCACATTTTTATTGACTTTAATGCTTCCTTTCACAGTTTGGGAAGTTAGTCCCTGACCAACCCACCACCAAACGGCGAAGAGTCAAACAGGATCCTCCCACATCACCTCATCCTAAACACCCATCTGTTGATATTTCTGAGGGGATCAAAGTGTTCTGCAGATGTGTAAGAGTGGGGACAATGCACAGGACCCCTCCAAAGCATGTCACAGTAATTGTTTTGTTTGTTTTGGATACAACTGAAAACAGTATTTAAAACTGAAACTCTTTGCCAGTAGACAACACAACACAGATATTCCAGTATTACACTGACTCAGTTTATTTGACTCTGTTTCAGTTTACAGCAGAGTACATTCAGATCAATGGACAAGGTAAGAATCCCTTCAAAGTCTGAACTGGTGCCTTATTGGGATGAACAGCCATGAGATGACATGAAGCTGTTAAGTGTTAATATCAGTGTGGCTGTGGTCATACAGCCTGGCCAGCTGTGCCTGGTGCCATGTCCGAAGCATGCCTGCCCCCTTCCTCAAGAACACTCCAGGAGAGAGCCAGCGCCTCCGCCTCTTGCTCAAGATGTCCCGAGCCAAGGGGGGCGCCTGGTATGACAGCAAGGGCCAACATGAATATTACAAAACACATGTCAAAGGCCTGACTCAGGGAACTCTCCTACTGTAGATGGTTTGCATACAGCACTATACTGTATGAATTTAATCAGTAGATACCCCTGTTTCACCAATGTAAATTAAGTATGTGCCAATTTAATCAAACTTAATCCCTCTGTCTATCAATCTGATGTTTGTTGTAATCTTTCGACAGATCTCGGCGAGAACTACATTATCCTAGTGCTTGAAAATACACTGTCTGACTTGGAGAAAGTTGAACTGGACAAAATCTTCAGAGAGATTGACAGAGCAAATAAAGCTACTCCGGGGGATTTCTCAGTGCAATTGTCATTTGTGGAAGCTAACCAAATACTCATGCACTCTTCCAAACCAACCCCAGAGAAGGTAAGCCATGTTGAACATGTTGCACTGTTAGTTGTAGGCATTTAATGGAGCATCATCCACCGATGACGTAAAGTCCATTGACGTGTCACCAAACCTGGTGTGTCCTCTGCTTGTCTTTCTCACTGCAGTAGGTTTCAGAGCCCGTTGCATGCCCACCTAAATATCCTCCTCACCCAGCTTCATCATTTCTGCAGAAGGTATCCCAGGCTATTTCAGGCCCACCTAAACCTCAGCCCTCTGTGTTTCAGCAGCAGTTTCTTTATTCCATTTGTGGCTCAAGGACACAGACCCCTTCTTCCAAGCCTCTTGTCCCAAGATGGATTGCACCTGCCCCACCACAAATCTCTCTTGCCCCACCACAGAGCTCTACTCCCACTACATGCACCTCTTCTCCCCCAACATGCACCTCTTCTCCCCCAACATGCATCTCTCCCGCCCGACATTAATCTCTTCTCCCCAACATGCATATCTGCTGCCCCAATACAAGTCCTGGATGATGATGAAATAGTGGAGATTGAGGCAACGTTCAAAGGGCCAGTCAAGAGGTGAATGAGAATTCCCATCTTAGGGCTATTGGTCTTGCTATACTGATAAAGATGATTTATGCTAAACCCATTGTGATGTTTGGGTTGTCATCTTGCTAGGTTAACACTGTACCCCCCTCCTCCAGCCAGAGGGGGGGATCTGCGTCAGCAATGAAAGACCTCCACTGTCTCAACGAGCGAGAGTTCTTGAATGATGTCATCATTGACTTTTACCTGAAGTGAGTGAAATCTGTAAAATCTGTTTTTACATTGCTCCCAGTGGGTAGTGGGTTAACATTTGGAGTATGTTCAGTGTCCACATTCGTATGGAATGAAGTTGCTTAATTTTGCGATATTCTTCATTGTTTGTAAAGGTTCTTGGTCTCGGCAATGCTGAAAGATGAGGATGCCAGCAGGAGTCTTAACAGCTTCTACCCCAAAGCCATAAGACTCCTGAACAGCTAATCATGGCTACCCGGACTATTTGCATTGCATTGCATTTTTACTTATCTATATTTTACTTCACTTTTTTTTTTTTTTTCTTAAAACTGCATTGTTGGTTAAGGGCTTGTAAGTAAACATTTCACTGTAAGGTCCACACCTGTTGTATTCGGTGCATGTGGAAAATAAAATTTGATTTGAGTCACATGTTCAGCTCCTTCATTTACAAGCGCCTCACCCAGACAGAGCAGGGGAAGACCCCAGGCACTGTGGACCTGCCGTAAGTACTGTAGTATGACAACTTTACTTTACCAGCTCCCAATATGTGTCATGGCTTTACACCCCCTGCTATATTGTGGATAAAGAGTTACCTGTCTAACAGAACACAGAGGGTGTTCTTTAATGGAAGCCTCTCCAACAAAATCCAGGTAGAATCAGGAATTCCCCAGGGCAGCTGTCTAGGACCCTTACTTTTTTCAATCTTTACTAACGACATGCCACTGGCACTGTGTCTATGTATGCGGATGACTCAACACTATACACGTCAGCTACCACAGCGACTGAAATGACAGCAACACTTAACAAAGAGCTGCAGTTAGTTTCAGAATGGGTGGCAAGGAATAAGTTAGTCCTAAATATTTCAAAAACTAAAAGCATTGTATTTGGGACAAATAATTTACTAAACCCTAAACCACAACTAAATCTTGTAATGAATAATGTGGAAATTGAGCAAATTGAGGAGACTAAATTGCTTGGAGTAACCCATGACTGTAAACTGTCATGGTCAAAACATGTTGATACAACAGTAGCTAAGATGGGGAGAAGTCTGTCTATAATAAAGCGCTGCTCTGCATTCTCAACAGCACTATCAACAAGGCAGGTCCTACAGGCCCTAGTTTTGTCGCACCTGGACAACTGTTCAGTTGTGTGGTCAGGTGCCACAAAGAGGGATTTAAGAAAATTGCAATTGGCTCAGAACAGGGTAGCACGGCTGGCCCTTGGATGTACACAGAGAGCTAACATTAATAATATGCATGTCAATCTCTCCTGGCTCAAAGCGGAGGAGAGATTGACTTCATCACTACTTGTATTTGTGAGAGGTATTGACATGTTGAATGAATCAAGCTGTCTGTTTGAACTACTGGCACACAGCTCAGACACCCATGCATACCCCACAAGACATGCCACCAGAGGTCTCTTCACAGTCCCCAAGTCAAGAACAGACTATGGGAGGCACACAGTACTACATAGAGCCATGACTACATGGAACTCTATTCCACATCAAGTAACTCAAGCCAGCAGTAAAATTAGATTTAAAAAACAGATAAAAATACACCTTATGAAACAGCGGGGACTTTGAAGCAACATAAACATAGACACATGCATACAAACACACAATAACATACGCACTACACAGTGCCTTGCAAAGTATTCATCCCCCTTGGCGTTTTTCCTATTTTGTTGCATTACAACCTGTAATTTAAATTGATTTTTATTTGGATTTCATGTAATGGAAATACACAAAATAGTCCAAATTGATGAAGTGAAATGAAAAAAATCACTTGTTTCAAAGAATTCTAAAAAATTAATAACGAATAAAATTATTCACCCCCTTTGCTATGATTCCTAAATAAGATCTGGGGCAACCAATTACCTTCATAAGTCACATAATTAGTTAAATAAAGTCCACCTGTGTGCAATCTAAGTGTCACATGATCTGTCACATGATCTCAGTATATATACGCCTGTTCTGAAAGGCCCCAGACTCTGCAACACCACTAAGCAAGGGGCACCACCAAGCAAGCGGCATCATGAAGACCAAGGAGCTCTCCAAACAGGTCAGGGACAAAGTTGTGGAGAAGTACAGATCAGTGTTGGGTTATAAAAAAATATCAGAAACTTTGAACATCCCACGGAGCACCGTTAAATCCATTATTAAAAAATGGAAAGAATATGGCACCACAACAAACCGGCCAAGAGAGGGCCGCACACCAAAACTCACAGACCAGGCAAGGAGGGCATTAATCAGAGAGGCAACAAAGAGACCAAAGATAACCCTGAAGGAGCTGCAAAGCTCAACAGCGGAGATTGGAGTATCTGTCCATAGGACCACTTTAAGCCGTACACTCCACAGAGCTGGGCTTTATGGAAGAGTGGCCAGAAACAAAGCCATTGCTTAAGGAAGAAAATAAGCAAACACATTTGGTGTTCGCCAAAAGGCATGTGGGAGACTCCCCAAACATATGGGGTGGCAGGTAGCTTAGTGGGTAAGAGCGTTGTGCCAGTAACCGAAAGGTCGCTGGTTCTAATCCCTGAGCAGACTAGGTGAAAAATCTGTCGATGTGCCCTTAAGCAAGGCACTTAACCCTAATTGCTCTGGATAAGAGCGTCTGCTAAATGACTAAAATGTAAATGTGATATGGAAGAAGGTACTCTGGTCAGATGAGACTAAAATTGAGCTTTTTGGCCATTAAGGAAAACGCTATGTCTGGCGCAAACCCAACACCTCTCATCACCCCGAGAACACTGATGGTTTTCATCGGCAGGGACTGGGAAACTGGTCAGAATTGAAGGAATGATGGATGGCGCTAAATACAGGGAAATTCTTCAGGGAAACCGGTTTCAGTCTTCCAGAGATTTGAGACTGGGATGGAGGTTCACCTTCCAGCAGGACAATGACCCTAAGCATACTGCTAAAGCAACACTCGAGTGGTTTAAGGGGAAACATTTAAATGTCTTAGAATGGCCTAGTCAAAGCCCACACCTCAATCCAATTGAGAATCTGTGGTATGACTTAAAGATTGCTGTACACCAGCGGAACCCATCCAACTTGAAGGAGCTGGAGCAGTTTTGCCTTGAAGAAGTTGTCTGTTTTTTTGTCTTATTTCTTGTTTGTTTCACAATAAAATGAAACAATATTTTGCATCTTCAAAGTGGTAGGCATGTTGTGTAAATTAAATGATACAAACCCCCCAAAAATCCATTTTAATTCCAGGTTGTAAGGCAACAAAATAGGAAAAATGCCAAGGGGGGTGAATACTTTCGCTAGCCACTGCACACACATGTACACATGGATTGTGTGTTATAGATATGTGGTAGTAGAGTAGAAGGCTGGGGGCACACACTTAATATGTTGTGAAATATTGTAATGTTTTTAAAATGTATAACTGCCTTAATTTTGCTGGACCCCAGGAAGAGTAACTGGGATCCATAATAAGTCAAATGTTTGGACACCTACTCATTCAAGGGTTTTTCTTTATTTTTACTATTTTCTGCATTTTAGAATAATAGTGAAGACATCAAAACTATGGAATAACACATATGGAATCATGTATTAACCAAAAAAGTGTTAAATCAAAATATATTTAATATTTAAGATTCTTCAAATAGTGTTATGCCTTCTTAAAAGTTAATTTGTGGAATTTCTTTCCTTCTTAATGTGTTTGAGCCAATCAGTTGTGTTGTGACAAGGTAGGGGGGTTATACAGAATATAGCCCTATTTGGTAAAAGACCAAGTCCAGATTATGGCAAGAACAGCTCAAATAACTAAAGATGAACGACATTACTTTAAGATATGAAGGTCAGTCAATACAGAACATTTCACAAACCATCAAGTGCTATGATGAAACTGGCTATCATGAGGACCGCCACAGAAATGGAAGACCCAGAGTTACCTCTGCTGGAGAGGATAAGTTCATTAGAGTTACCAGCCTCAGAAATTGCAGCCCAAATAAATGCTTCACAGAGTTCAAGTAACAAAAAAAAGAAACATCCTCTCACTGTCAACTGCGTTTATTTTCAGCAAACTTAACATGTGTAAATATTTGTATGAACATAACAAGATTCAACAATTGAGACATAAACTGAACAAGTTCCACAGACATGTGACTAACAAAAATTGAATAATGTGTCCCTAAACAAAGGGGGGGTCAAATCAATAGTAGCAGTCAGTATCTGGTGTGGCCACCAGCTGCATTAAGTACTGCAGTGCATCTCCTCCTCATGGACTGCACCAGATTTGCCAGTTCTTGCTGTCAGATGTTACCCAACTCTTCCACCAAGGCACCTGCAAGTTCCAGGGCATTTCTGGGGGAAACGGCCCTAGCCCTCACCCTCTGATCCAACAGGTCCCAGACATGCTCAATGGGGACCCTCCACCTCCAAAATCGATCCCGCTCCAGAGTACAGGCCTTGGTGTAACGCTCATTCCTTCGACAATAAACACGAATCCGACCATCACCCCTGGTGAGACAAAACCGCGACTCGTCAGTGAAGAGCACTGATGGGGGGTCCAGCGACGGTGGGTTTGTGCCCATAGGTGACGTTGTTGCCGGTGATGTCTGGTGAGGACCTGCCTTACAACAGGCCTACAAGCCCTCAGTCCAGCCTCTCTCTCAGCCTATTGCGGACAGTCTGAGCACTGATGGAGGGATTGTGCGTTCCTGGTGTAACTCGGGCAGTTGTTGTTGCCATCCTGTACCTGTCCTGCAGGTGTAATGTTTGGATGTAGCGATCCTGTGCAGGTGTTGTTACATGTGGTCTGCCACTGCGAGGACGATCAGCTGTCCGTCCTGTCTCCCTGTAGCACTGTCTTAGGCATCTCACAGTACGGACATTGCAATTTCTTGCCCTGGCCACATCTGCAGTCCTCATGCCTCCTTGCAGCATGCCAAAGGCACGTTAACGCAGATGAGCAGGGACCCTGGGCATCTTTCTTTTGGTGTTTATCAGAGTCAGTAGAAAGGCCTCATTAGTATACTACGTTTTCCTAATTGTGACCTTAATTGCCTACTGTCTGTAA